CACAAGGACCGGGGATCACTACACACAAAAGGCCAGCTAATGATACCCATCAACCACAGTGACAGATAATCTCTCCTCCTTATCACAACAATACACCCACAACAAGACACACTAATCACCCATCTACAGAAAAAGACAAAAGCCCATCTCACAGCCATAAATACTCCACTCCCAAGCCTACTACACCAGAGCACGGAGTGCTGTCCTCTGAAGATGCCGGCCACAGAGACTGGTGAAACGTTTGGAAGAACAACGTTCAGAACACAGCCAAAGAGCCCGAAAACACCAGAACAACCATTACTCATGAAAATTGGTGCCAGTGAACAAGCCCAGCATAAAATTAATAAATGTACTTATAATGATGATTTTAGAAAGCTAAAAGAAGCATACTTCTAAACTTTTTGCAAAGATTACTGAATTAAAGTAGTCTGAAAAAATGTAATGTAAGCAATGGCTGTTGATTAAATATAATTCAGGTTGCAGTCTTACGTACAATCACTTGGAAGGAAGCTGCATCTGTATCTGTTTCCCAAAATGCATAGGAATAGTGGAATGTGTTTATTAGTTAATAAGATCTGCATAAATGCATAAAAAGGAAAAAAACATGTTTTATAGAGGAAAAATGTTTGTATGCCTGTATATGTATCTGTTTTGTACTGGCCCAGTAAAGGATACTGTGTTCTTTTTCTTGGGTTTTAATGGTATTTTTATACTGTTCAGAACAGATGCATTTTGGACATATGAAACTTGCTTAACACTTCCTGAAAAGAGATTGTTTTGCAAATTTTCCTACTGTCAGTGCCAGACTATATGCGTTAGAGGTTTTTTTTTGTAGAGAAGTGGGTGGATGGATTTTCTCCTACGCTTCTTGTTGAGGGAAAAGGAGAAAGAAGGAACTGAGTGGCCCTTATGTTCACTCAGTCTGTTTCTCAGTTTTAAAACCTGACACAATGGGCAAAATCCTGTTGACACCAATGTAATGTAAATGTGCTGGATGTTGAGCCCCCCAACAAAGAATTGTGCACTTGAATTGTGTAATCAGTTGTGCAGCCCAAGTACAACCTATTGTGCATTGGGCTGACAGAAGTGCTTCATGGATAGCATTTCTACCTTGGTACTATTTTAACTGCTGGTTGCCGATTGTGATAGAGCTGGGGAATAACTTCAGAATATTCAACTTACAGCAGAGTTTTAAAATAGCATTGACCCCAAAATATCTCTAGCTAATTTCATCCTAATGCCTTATGCAAATTAAACCAGATATAGAAAACTGGAAATAACAGTTCTTTAAGCTGTCTTAATCTGACTCTACTGTTCTCAGGTATTGTGTGTGTGTGTTTCATTCTGTGTATAATGGTAGCTTTTAGAATCTTGGACTCTTTGATTCTCTCATTTTTCTCTTGAGTGAGAAGTTATGCTATCACTACATATTTAGAAGCTGTCACTGCTTTCCTGTTACAATTGATCTCAACCATATCTGTTACCTTGGTCTTCTCAGGTAGGTCTTCCAGTCAGGGAGCATCCAGACAGTTTATGGCAGAGGCCTGTTTGTTTCTGGTGATGTGGATGCAGCCTCTTTGAAGAAATATTTGTCAGTCATTGGTCACCAGGGTGAATATTCAGTTTTTCACTTGTACTTTGGCCATCTGATGAGAAGAGAAGACTCCCTGGTAAAAAAAAAACTGATGTTGGGAAAGGGTGAGGGCAAGAGGAGAAGCAGACGACAGAAGACGAGATGGTTGGACAGCATCATCGAAGCGACCAACATGAATTTGACCCAACTCCAGGAAGCAGTGGAAGACAGGAGGGCCTGGCGTGCTCTGGTCCATGGGGTCACGAAGAGTCGGACATGACTAAACAACAATCTTAAGGTAAAAAAAACCTGATGTTGGGAAAGGGTGAGGGCAAGAGGAGAAGCAGACGACAGAAGACGAGATGGTTGGACAGCATCATCGAAGCGACCAACATGAATTTGACCCAACTCCAGGAAGCAGTGGAAGACAGGAGGGCCTGGCGTGCTCTGGTCCATGGGGTCACGAAGAGTCGGACATGACTAAACAACAATCTTAAGGCAGCCATTTTAGTCTATTCAGCAAAATGAACAAAGAATCCATTCATGTCTCAAAGACTAGTATATTTTATTTGACATAAATGTTCATGTACTGCAAAGCACTTAATAATATATTTCCCAGATATTGCTCTTTTCTTCTTCTTTTTTTTTCATCCTCTTTCCAGCAAGTGAATGGGATTTTGGAGAGTCCCACAGGCACCGGGAAGACTTTATGCCTCCTTTGTTCGACCTTGGCTTGGCGGGAGCACTTCAGAGATGCAATCTCTGCACAGAAGATCGCCCAGAGACTAGGTGGAGCAGAACTTTTCTCTGACCGGCCACTGTCGTCTTGGGGTAACACAGCCCCAGGGACTGATGCCTCGGGTAAGTTGTGTGGCTTGTGTTTCCACATATGTTGCCGTACATTGACTTGGTGAGCCATGGAAACATATATGAGTTCTCAGAGTGGGCTGTTTGATTGAAGCGGAGTGTGATCAGTGGCTGGATGCCGCTCCTTCTTGATTTCACAGCTGTGAGCATTCAGAGAGTTTCATGGTTCAGGAACGGGTGACTCATTGAAAACATTGCTGGCTGTCCTGACGAGTTACCTTAAGATGAGATAGAATCAGAGAGTAGGAGGAGGTCTTGGAAACCCTAGCTCAGTGGTCCCGACCCTTTTTACCCCGCGGATCGGCTGGGGAAGGCGGGGCACCCCTTGCGCTCATGCGCAGGCACAAAGGTGTGCGCACACGTTTGTGTGCATGCACGAAGGGGATTACAGTGCTTATGCGGGCACGCGCGCTCTTGTGCGCATGTGCAAACAGTGATGCGACGCTCATGCAGGCTCTTGCCCTTATGTGCATGCGCAAAGGGTGGCACAGTGCTCGTGTGGGCGCATGCTTGCACACAGGCGCAAACAGCTTGTGTGTGGGGGAGTGCATGCACAAGTGGGTGTGGAGGTCTCTCTCCATGGCCCGGTCGGGCTCAGGCCTCGGACCGGCACCAGGCCGCGGACTGGGGGTTGGGGACTTCTGCCTTAGTTTAGTGGAAGAAGGGCTTCTTTACTTAGGAACCTTACAGTTTATAAGGGCATCGACTTTTTCTGCCATTTATGAGTACATTTGTACAGGTGCAGTAAAAATAAGCACTTTCAGTGTTTCCTGTAGGTAAGCACTTGAGTTGTAAAATCCTCCTCTGCCTCCAGAGGTTGAGTTGTTACCATAGCACCAGCAGGAGAAAAGCAGACTGATGATATATTTAGTACTAAATCAGAACTAATTCAAAGCCCACCCCCACTTTCTCTCTCCACTTGACAGCTTATTACAGTGACATTCCCAAAATAATTTATGCCTCAAGAACTCATTCTCAGCTTACGCAGGTCATCAGTGAATTAAAGAACACAGTATACAGGTAAAGAACATTTAAAATATTTCTGCTCATTCCAAATCTGAAAGAATTTGCGATTTATAGATACCTCGTCCTCTCATTTTCAGTGATGTCTTCGTTTCTGGCAGCATTTTGAGAATGCTGATTAGCAGCTCTGTCTGACCTTTGCCACCATTGCGGGGAAAGTGTTACTTTCACAGAACATAAATGTCTTTAATGCTAAAAATGGCAAATGTTGTAATACCACCCTTGTTCCTCTTTTTCACTGCTCTTTTTTTCATATTTGCCATGCTTATTGTAATATGGCAATGTATATTTTTGGCAACATTTTCTTGGCTGGTATTTATCTGTTAAATGAGGGGTTCTTCGTTCCTGTTTCTTATTTAAACAGGCCCAAAGTATGTGTGCTCGGTTCCAGAGAGCAGCTGTGCATCCACCCAGAAGTTAAAAGGCAAGACAGTAACCATATGCAGGTAAAAAAATGAATAAACTCAATAGCACGCGCACAGTGTCAATTGCTAAGTGAAAACTGGGGCCCAGTTCAAAGTGCTGGTCTTTATCTTTTGGACCCTTGGTGGGCCTCTTGTTTCCATGTATGCTTTTGCATCTTTTAAATGCTTTGGTGGAGGCCTTATTTAAGAGCTACCTCTACTCTAAAATGAGGTTGTGGCCATTGGAGAGAGAGCACTTGTTTTACTGGCACTCCCAATTATGCACTTTTTCTGGCACTTAATCTTGTTATTCTTTGCATTCCAGTAAATGCCTTTTTCTTATGCATTTTAGTCATAATTGGAATTGCATTGATTAGCTTTTACCTGGTTTTTCTATCTTGTAGTCTTGTATTTTTATGATATTTTCTATATTGCATTTTTAAATGATCTTTTATTGAAGGACAATATATAATAGGGATGCCGGTCCTTGTTTTTCTTGTTCTCATATACGAGAAGAAGCTACTGCAAAGTTTTGCTTCTCACCTGCAGTAAAGCAAGGCATTTTCTTCTGGTCTAGACTGGAGTTTTCATTTGAGCAAGAATGATGTTGTGAAGTAGTACTAAATGTGGAAAGCTGCAATAGGTGCTGCCATGTTGCACATATTTTAAAATTCAGAAACATTGGGTGGGTTATTTGCATTTTTGATCAATCAACAGGTCTTTTAAAGCTAGCCCTATGTGTGCATTCTTAGGTTCAAAAGGGAAAAGATACCAGTTTTTGTGAACCACAGCACCCTTGAAGGAAAAAAAGCATGCATTGGCAGAAATCCTGTTGCTTAACATAGTATATTACGCTAGTGGTGTGCATGCACGAAGGGGATCACAGTGCTTATGCGGGCACGCACGCTCTTGTGCGCATGTGCAAACGGTGATGCGACGCTCATGCAGGCGCGTGCCCTTATGTGCATGCGCAAAGGGTGGCACAGTGCTCGTGTGGGCGCATGCTTGCACACAGGCGCAGACAGCTTGTGTGTGGGGGAGTGCATGCCCAAGTGGGT